ATGATTGAGTTATTTAAGTGACCACTTTGTCTTCCAGGCGAAGGTTTCCACAATTACCATCACACCTTCCCCTATGACTACTCTGCAAGTGAATTTGGCTTAAATTTCAACCCGACCACCTGGTTCATTGACACCATGTGCTGGCTGGGGCTGGCCACTGACCGAAAACGGGCATCCCAGCAGGTAATCAAGGCCCGGAAAGCGAGGACTGGAGATGGCAGTATTTGAACCTGGAGCCGTCATCCAACAAGTCAGCTGTTGACTCCTCTGCCCATTGCTTTTGTTACTGTAGTTCTCTTGTCCATTGGATTGTGGGAGGGGCTAGGGGGTGGGGAGGGGACAGAATCTATGTGGTTTGAGAGTTTTTGTTTATCTCAAAATAACGTCTAAATACAACTATCAATGAAAAACATTTTTAAACATCATTGTAACTATGATTTAACATTAGCATGTGGATATGTGGTTTAATTGCTATAGCTACAATATGTCAAACATACATTGTCGTGTGCTCGTACATGATGTTAACCCTGACAGGATGAAGGAATTTAATGTTCTTTCAGTGTGATTCAGGAGAGCATTTGTTTTCTTTTTTACCAATTAACTCAGCATTGCTTTTAAACACAGAGAGGCAGGGTAGGAGATAAAAAAGGGGGTCTAAGTATTAACTAAAGAATGTATCTGTTTTGTAATTATTGTGCATGCATATGTTTTTTTTTTCAGTAAGAGAATTGACAACTCTTCAAAATGAGAATACAGGAAATGGCTCTCTTATTTTTTGCCCTGTTTATAGCTTGTTAATGCTCCTCTGTCTTTGCTTCAAAAGAGATTTGTTCACGGCTTAGCTAGTTTTGTGTCCCAGGCTGTACACCCAGTGGTCCTGTAAATCAATGCCTGTCTAAGTGTTTGAGTTTGTTCTCTTTGGTATTGTCATTTTAAAGGTATATAACTCAGACATGCCAGACATCGAATTAAGCTCAAATTAAGCTCTCATTTAAATGTTTAGACACCTAATTTATATTCTAATTGATCCTAGCCAGTGATGCATGTACTTTAGCTATGTCTGCTAAATAGGCATATTAATTTTCCACATGAGGCCATCAGATATTAATAACCAACAGTTATCTAGAACTCTGTCTACTGATGTTTTACTTGCACGTGGCCTTCATTGATTTTACAGCAAAATATAAAGTGATCATTATGTAGCTTCTGGATTAAAAAAAATTGTGTGTGTTAAGTTGCTATGTAAAGAGCATGTTGAATTAATGGGACATCGTGCCCTTTGTGTTAGATGTTAGATCAGAAAGAAAGGTCTTAAGAGTGCTGTTATTGGAGCACTTTGAAGATGGATCTTTTCAGGAAAGAGGTAGGATTTAAAATTAAAATTTAAAACTTCTGAAAAAGAAATGTTGCCAATAGGAAATTGTCATAATGAAGTTCTTCATCCAGCAGGTGTTTAACAGTGTTATTTTGCCATTAATAATGTGTAAACTGTGAGTGATTTACAATAAATGATTATGAATTTGTTGGTGTTCTTGTCTAGATACTTACATGTTGTTTGGATAACATTCTCTCAAAGGTGCTTGATGCTTCGTAATGACTATATGATTCACATCTGATCTGGGCTCTAGGCTAACAGCAATGCCTAAGACCAGACATCTCCCATTCCATCTGCCTTAGGCATAACCAGCAGGGAAGCCGGCAAGTTTTGTCTGGAATACAGAACGCCCAGTGGTGTTATTCCCCATTTCTCACTCACCAACATTGCCCCTTGCACTGCATCCAGCTAATTAATGGGAACCTCCCCAGGTGATGCAAACAGTTTGCGCTCAACTATGTACTAACAGAAACGTTGGCAGTTCAAACCCACCCAGTGACACCATGGAAGAAAAGCCTGGCAATCTGCTTCCATAAAGATTATAGCCAAGAAAACCCTATGGCGCGATTCTACTCTGTAACACATGGGGTGACCATGAGTCAGAATTGACTCAGTAACAGCACGTTTGGTTCTTAGGGTTTCTCTACAGGTCACCCGTAAGAGCTTGAAGAACACCTCCCTCCCTAAGGCCCACCAGGCCAGTGGTGACCAGAAAAGGGGGAGATGGGCTCATGCTCTGGCTGCCTCTCTCAGCTTTGCCTCCGTGCTGCCTGAGTCTGCCCATCTTTTGCCCTGAAGCAGCTGTGTCCTGGCCATCAGATGTAGACTTCTTAGGCTGCCTGCAGTTGAGGGGGATAGCAATCATTGGTGGGTGCTGGACCAGATCTCATCTATAAGGACCCCTTGGATATTACCGTGGCATTTTTCAGCTGCTTTATATTCCAGTCAGATATTGCTAAGGCCTGATAAGGTGTTTTGGCAGAGTATAGCTATATTCCAAGATGAATTTGTCTTACCATGGACCTAAAATGGCCCCAGTTGGTAATGTTTATGTGAATCTTTGGCCCCTAAAATTTTAATCTATAATTCTTCTGATTTTAAAACTTGCTTGTCAATTAATGGAAAATTTACATGTGGAACATCTATTTGGAATCTTCTCACAAAAGGAGAACATTCTCGAGATAGTCCAAATAAATCCAAACCACACCCCAGTGAACCTGAGTACAATCTATTTATCTGCAGCGGTACCCATGGGTTGATGATTTGGAGGAAGGTAGTGGACAAAGGTTAGATTGTTCTAGGGCTTTCCATCTTAACATTCCCTGCAGGTCTCAGCAATATCTAAGGGAAGAAAGTAGCCCTGTAAAATGCCTCCCACACCTATCCAAGGTGGTCCTAGAAAGGCTGGTGCATCTTTTGAAAGGTTTCAGTTTAAGGTAAGAGAATGGTCTAGCTTCTAGCCCTGTGGCCTGCCTTTAATCTCCTCAGCTGTACAACATTTATTTCAGAAACACCCACCCTGGCATCTAGGTGAGGGGAGCCAAGGAGAAGCAGTTCCAATAGTGAATATTCCAGCGTCACAGCAGCTATGGGAGCTAGCCTGTGGTGGGAAGCCAACTTAAGTTTGATTCAGGTCCCTAGCCATGCTGCTGGCCAGCTATGTAACCTTGAGAAAGTCAGTTTTTCTGAATCCAGGTATTTTTAATCTTCAAAGAGAGGAGATTAAACCAGTGTTACAGTTGAATTGTGTCTCCCCAAAAATATATGTTGAAGTCCTAACTCCTGTCACCTGTGGATGTGACCTGTTTGGAAACAGAGTCTTTGAAGATGTTATCAGTTAAGATAACGTGAAGTCATACTGGAGTAGGCTGGGTCCCAATCCAATCTGAGTGGTGTCCTATAAAAGAGGAAGCGAGACAGGCAGAGAGGAAAGACAGCCATGTGAAGATGCATGTACATGCCAAGGAAGGCCCGGGGCCACCAGAAGCTGGAAGAGACAAAAAAGGATCTTTCCCTAGAGGCTTCAGAGAGAACTTGGCCCTGCCAACACCCTAAGTTCAAACTACTAGCCTTCAGAACTGTGAGACAATAAATTTCTGTTCTTACAAGCCAGCTAATTTGTGGTGTTCTGTTACGATAACCCTAGGAGGACTCTTTAAAGTCTTGCGCAATCCTAACATTCAGTGGCAGTAACAGAGACTAGAGTATGTCTGACTTCAGAGTTGACACGCCTCTCATCAGTAACCATCCTTTCTGGGACCTGGAAGGTCAGTGTTGAGGGGAAGTAATTCAATCCAAGTGGGAAAACACAGACTGAGGCTGAAAGGATAGAATGTTCTTGGTAAAAATGTCCATGTAGGGATCACTCATGTCCAAAATATAATGAAACAATAAAAATACAATCCACAATAAAATGTTCAAAAAATAAATAAAACCCACCATGAAAAATAATTTAATGAAAGAAAGTACTGCAGAAAGCTCTAAGGTATCATGAGGTAGTATAAATAGCCCTGGACTCCAAGTCCTAAGACCAGAATTTGAACACTAACTCTTAATCTAACTTGCTGAGTTACCTTAGGCATGTTTTCAGGCTAAACCATGTGAGAGTGCCATTTACTAATCTCCTGCTTAGCCTCCCTGGACCTCAGTGTCCTCATCCACAGGAAAAACTATGGGTTGGAGCCCTGGAATGAGAGACTCAGAAGAGGGATGAGATTGGGTTATCGGCAGGACTGTGGAGAAGGACACACATTCAAAGCGGTGTGGTCAGCCACGATCTTTGAGTAGGGCACGGCTGTTGCCGACTCAGCTCAAAATCCAATGGGCGAGAGATTCGGTAGCTATGCAACGCGTATGCTGCCCTTGTTTTCTAAGAGGGAGATTAGGTTTCTAGCAGGGGTTGGACCGGTAATTTTTCCTGTTCCAGTTATGGTTCTGGTTCAGTGGAATTTTTAAAATTTGAGTCTGTTCCAGTTTCGCTTCTTCGGCCGTGACTGAACCGGGAAGAATGAGTTCGAAGCCCTGGTTTCCCCTTCTGTAAAGGGACTCAGGTGGTGCAAACAGTTAATGCACTCAGCTGCTAATCAAAGAGTTGAAGATTGGAGTTCACCCATTTGGCCCCTAAAATTTTAATCTATAATTAAATATGCACTCAGCTGCTAATCAAAGAGTTGAAGATTGGAGTTCACCCAGAGGTGCCTTAGAAGAAAGGCCTGCAATCTACTTCTGAAAAATCAGCCACTGAAAATCCTGTGGAGCACAGTTTTACTCTGACACACATGGGGTTGTCCTGAGTCACAGTTGACTTGAAGGCAACTGTTTTTTTTTTAAACAGACTCAACTGAATTGGATTACGCTGTCCAGCTCTGCCATTTTAACAGTCTTTTCTCCCCTCTGTCTGAAGAAGCCCCCAGCACACCGATGGAGCCTTTACAGCAATGCGCCTCAATTCTAGTCTTTTGTGTGGCCCTCTGACCCTCTGGCCACCTCACAGTGCCTTCACACCTCCGTTAGAGGACAAGTCTGACCTGCAACATAACGTATGCTTCAGTCAGCTCATTTTTCTCCCAGTCAGGAGCGGGGATAAAAGATTTGTGGAGGGAAGAGGTTGAAGCTAATGGATAAAAATGAGTTTTGGGGATTATCTGTGAAGCTCATTTATTCATTTTACTCCTGATCACAATTACAGAGACATCTGAAAGCTAGTTGTGTTCTCAGTGGCTGCTCATGTAAAAAATAAGGAAGGGAAAGAAATATCCTAACCTTTACAATGCTTTTTTCCTCCACCTTTAGTTTAGGGTATTAGTCAAAATTCTTCTCTTCCCCTTCCTCTACGTCAAGGAAGTGCTATAAA